GCCCACTGCTTACTCAGAATCAGAATGGTGAATGGAGTTCTGATGTTTCAAAGGATGCTGACAAGTGGTTTACGTCCTCTTGTAAATGGAAATCTCTGTAATAATGAGGTTTCCACTTACTCAGCACATGTCTGTTTTTGCAGATGACAAAGTACCTGTAAATGCAATCTGTGATTTCACTGTAAAGATTGGTAATGACATGTACCTTCCATATTGTGGACACAGAAATCTGATAGACTAGCACCAAAGGAATCATTGACAATACCATTTCACAGTAAAGAAACTGAGGCTCAGGAAATGGAAATGATATAAGTCCCTGAGTAAGTTAAAGGCAGCGATACAATTAAAGAGATTTTAAATGGGTCTCCTAAAACTATGTAATAGTACAGAAATCGCTTACATTGTATATAAAACAGATCCAGTGACATAAAGTGTCATAGACGGGATGGATCTTGCTATTTGTGTGATTACTAATCTGGTGGCATTTCCTTGCTCCCCAAGGATTCTGTGTGTGTTTATTTTGTTTACAGAAACAAGTCCTCCATAATGCACACCCCGTCTATAGCATTTAGCAAGGACTAGGCCTGCAAACTTTGCATCTTATTAAGTGTTCCCTTGAATGACCACCTTCTGAGCCCTTAAGAAGAAGGAACCAACTCAAAGAAGAACAAGTTGCAGATAACTGAAAAGTGCATTATCTTACTGTAGCGAAAGAAAAATGCAAAAATGTATTAGTAGAAAGAATAAAAACGACTCACTTTCCAATGGCTTTCAACCATGAGCCTTTGATCTTCTCCAGCCCCCTCCTGTGGTAGTTGAGGCTGTTTGGCCTGGTGAGTGGAAGGTTTTCCTCCACATGGTAACTCAGGCCACAAGCTGTCACCTTCTTGTTGCTCAGATGGTTCCATCCAACTGCAAAGACAAAATGAGAAATGTAGTCGAGCTCAGAAAGAAGAAGAATACAAATTTGGTCAGTAGTTAGCAGCTATGTCTGCCATCCTGAATAAACTCCACAGATTTTCTAAGACACATCAGCCAGTAAATTGCTCAGAAATTCCATGATGTCTGATTGCATGTTTACATGGCTGTGGTGTAAGAAGATGTTTGCCAATAGGCTTATTTCAGAAGCATGACTTTAATAAAGGTAACCATCATTTTGAAGCGTTTTACATTTTTTGTTTTCTGAAACAGCCTCTCCAGCCTAGTCCTTGCGGTTTCTCCTCTATTTTCTAACTATTTTGCTGTTTCATATGCTCTGGTTGTGGAATGTCTGTTTACTTCCTCCTTCCTTCCTTCTACCCTATTTCCCTGCTTCGCTTTATTCTTGTTTCCTCCGTCTCTTTTCTTTCTTGAAAATTACGGCTTATACTTTAAATCAAGCTAAGAGGTTGTCCCTTTCTGTCCTTCCTCCGTCTCACAACACTGATCTTAACACCGCTTACTGCTTACATTTTTAATTATCTATTTTCACCTCTTTTTCTTCCTAAGTAGTTTATTTTCAGAAGCAGAAACTTTAAATAATTTGATTTTGTATTTATAGTTTTCAGCACTTGGCAGTCTCTAAGCAAAAGTATGTTAAGATAATGTTGAGGGAATCCTCTGAAATCTATTGTTGATAACTGACCTGTGGCTCACACTGTTGTTTTTGCCTTTTCTAGGAGATTCAGATGTTTCAGAGACATTTATGTTAGTGATTAATATTGATATTTATATGAACTGTTTTCTTAGAAAAGCCTAAAAGCTTTGTTCATACATGTTTCAAAATGGCATTGCTTGGTAGGGAGCAGTAAACCTCCACTCAGAAATTTTAAAAATCTTGCCTCACATAACAGTCAGGTGACTCAAATCCATATTTGCACAGAGCCATCGTGCCAGACTGCTGGGAGACAGTGCTGTCAGGTCCCTGCCCAGCATTATAGCATCACAGATCCCCCCAGGTGGGCACACCTGCTTTCCCTCAGGGTCCTGCCAAATTCTCCGAAGTGGCTCTGTGCATGGGGCTGCTCACTGACACCCTTAAGCTCCACCACCTCACCCATGAAACAGGATCGTGCACCATGCAGAGCCTTTGAGATTATAGGTGTGGGCGTGTGCACCTTGCAAAGGGTCCTGCAAAATGAGGAATCGTTATTCCTCGGTGAGAATGTGGCTGCTGTCATCTACATTTCTGCTTCTGAGGGAATAAAAATGAAAACACAAATCATCTACTTGTAGCGCCCCCTCCAAAATTTCCATTATATTACGCAAAAACTTGCTCATTAAAAATGAGTTGGAGGCCCGGAGATTTAGCTCAGTGATTCTGCCACTTGCCTCACAAGCAGAAGGTCCTGAGTTTGATCCCCGGTACAGAGAAAGAAAAAAGTTGGGCAGAGCTGTGATACGTCCTGAAGACATGGGGAAGGGTGAGAAAAGTGCTAAAGTACTCCTTATGGAAGTGAACACCGGAAGGAAGTCCTAGGATATCTTCCTTGTTATCAGAAACACCCTAACTGAAGAATCTTGTATTTTCCCTTATATTTATGACAGGCATTAAGTAGTATATAGGGAGAGTCCTGAAAAAAGTGGAGGTCAGAAACACTGAGAAGTGATCTTTTGGGGCCTTTCCTCATCACAGTACCAGAAATCAATGATCAGTATTACAGATGGTCCACAACCACCATGGTTCCACTAATGAATTTAGACTTCTGTGATGTGAAAGAGATACTCAGTAGAACCATACTCCCGTAGTGTCATCTTGTTCTTTTCTGGGGTGATATTCTGGTTCAAGATCCTGGGCCCTGGCATGCAGCTCTAGCTCCAGCTAAGCCCCAAGATGCAAGGGTTAACGAACACCCGATACTCTGCAGTGTACTGGGTAGCTGTCTGTGATATTCATAGTGTGGGCACCTTAAAGGCCTGTCTGACTAATCATGCGTTTATCAGGGTATATTTCCATCCTGATTTGAGGAGTATCTGTATATAGAATAGAATCTAGAGAGATGAGCCTTTCCAAATTTGTTATTTCAGAAACAACATGGCACACAAATAAGAAGGATTATTTGGAGAGTAAAAAGAATGATACTTTTTTTAAATCTATGAAATACTGACAATGTCAGCACTTACCAATTAGACCTCTATTTGAAATGTAAGAGCAAAGAGTAGAGTCTGAATTTCGTGCCCCCTTTGTTTATGTTGAAAGTGAGTCAGATACACATGTAGCTTTAGAAAATAACAAATGTGTCCATTTTCTGTGGGTTTGCCTTAAGAGTAGAAAAGAATTATCAAGCGTTCTTTAATAGTTATTCACTTCATTGAAATAGCTGGTGCCATTGCTGTCCCAAGCAAGAGTTCATATGTTTCTAGCATTGCTCTAAGGGAAACAGTATTTGGTAAAACATATGGAATTTGAATTCAGATGATACCATACTTTGGGCTCACGCTCTCCTTTTATTGCAAGCCTGGAAAAAAAGATATAGTTCACTTCCTTGTCCTCACTTTTTTTATTTTGCTAGCTGCAGTGGGATGATGTCCTCTCGTAGAAGCCTGTTAGGAGAGTTAAAGAGAAACCCTTCATTGCAGCAGTCCGAAAGGAGTTCTATATAGCATGAAGTGCAGCTATGTCACCTTAATTATCACACACTGCGGCGTGCACTGGCAAGCCCAGTGTACAGAAAGGAGTATGACATAAAGTTTACAGGCTTGTCCAAGGACACCAAGTTAGGGTCGTAGTTGAGTATATATATCGTTTGACTATCTCTGGCCACAAATCCTCATCTCATTCCAATCTTACAGGTCTCCCATTCTCCATACACTCCAGAAAGAACTCCCCAAATTGAATTAGATCATCTCCAAGCTAAAATGCCTTATTATAGTTTCTACTTCCTTGATGTTCCTGAGAACATACAGATATGTTCCCTGTGTGAACTACTAAAAATTTTAAATAAACTCTCTATGCATTTTTATAGAAGCCATTTTCTACCACTAGGAATTTGTTTAGCTTATCAGATTTTGTGAGTTGGCCATGGTGTTACTCAGGGGCTCCTGACTCACAGAAAAGCCCTAAACACCTCAGCATGACAGGGCAGGGATTCCCTCAGGCATCCTCTCTCTCCACCACTCCACACTTAAACACAGAGCCACAGTGGCTTTGCCCACTCACACTAAACTGCTGCTCAACTCTGACCTTTTGCCGTTCTTGGAACCTCCCATTTGACTTAGGTTGGAAGCTGATTCCGGGATCTTTGTCATATCCACTGTTGTTATCATCATCCAAAAAATGCTGTTTCCTTGATTGCAATAGTAAAATTTCCTGCTATAAAATAAAGCAATAAACTCAGAAATTAAAAGTCCCATAAGAATCTACCTCCAGGGAAAAATCCCTTCTTTAACTGGAACAGAAGTCCTTTATTCTCTGAACTCCTTATCTGATGTTATTAGATTCACCTCATTTCTCATCTCATACTTTACGTATGTCCAGAAACACATAAATGTCAGAAGCCCCTCGTGGTGCCTGTTTTGAAAACAACTTTTACCTGCATATTTCCTCTCTCCTTTGTTTCCTTTACACAGGAAGCTTTCCTCCAAGGCCCTTTGAGAGGTCCATCCTAGTGCCTTCATTGTGCAATTTCGATAGCTGCTTCATTTTTATTAACATGCCATGCATGCCTTCATCTTGACCATGAAGTCTTTCAGAGGAAAAGCTTCAATTTATTCATCTTTTCAATAAATCCACAAATGATACAAAGTAACAGCTTGGCAAATGTCAAATGACATAGATTCCCTGTTGGAGATGTGGATTCCTAAAGCCCAGGTGATGGTTCATTTAGATAAAGAAATGAATGAAGAGATATGTCCAAGGTTAGACACTGAATAAGGCACAAATGTTAATCTAATACCCAGGTCTCCAAATAAACAAGTCCAGTGCGTTTTCCTTTCCCAGTGCAAACATGCCCGACTCATGCTGATTGCCCTGGTTGATGTCTAGACTCAAACGAAAAGATAATGAGCTTTCTATTTTTCAGGGTGGACACACAGGGCCTATGGGGCCTCCATCTCTTCCTCCTCCTTCCTTCCGCCCAGAAGATGAGCTGGAGCACCTGACCAAAAAGATGCTCTATGACATGGAAAATCCCCCTGCTGATGAATATTTTGGTGAGTGGGGACTAGAGGTGACTTTTGAAGTACATGACCTGTTCAATTTGCATTACTGGGTAATGGGGAGCATGATGGGCTCCACTGTTTTTGAGTGTGAGAGATGGTAGGTACACACACACACACACACACACACACACCCGGATCAGGCCTGGAATTTTTATTGGAAGACTGTTAGCTATGGGTTAGCTGTATAACTTATACTATGATCTCAGAGTTCCTTAGACTTCTTGGAGATGCAAATTTCAATTTAAGATCATATTTGACAACTCTTGAGATTTCCATTAGGAAAACTAGCACGATTGTATATGTTCAGCTTTCAGACTGACCTAAAGATTAATGTCTAAAATTGGAATTGAGAATTTCCTGAGCTCTACATTCTCAATTCTTTCCCCATCTGAGTTCAAAGATTTATTTTTTTTTTTTTTGGTGTTTTTAACTTCTTCCCTCTTCAAAATGGCAAGTAACCTGAACAGGTAATCCTTTCTCCGCGTAAGTACAAGTTTATGAGTTACATGCCAGTTGTGGAGGTGCAGTGGGCATATAATTTGTGATGGAAGTTGCAATGATTCAAAGGGGTAAGACAAACACACACAAAAATGCTACTTTAGATAGAAAAGTGATAAGACACATAAGATCAAAGTCCATTGTCACAGATTTTTAAAGTTCTGTCAGGAGCAACAGAAATGCTTTATAAAAAGGATTAAGAGAACTTGCACCCAGCCCTTTTATGTATTTTTTTAATTTTGTTTTTGTTTTGGGGGGGGGGTTTTGTTTTGTTTTGTTTTTTTCTCATTGAGTTTATTGGTACATTTTAGGCATACAGTACAGTTACTTTCATCATTAGGATCTTGTACCTTTACATGACAGGTCTTGGTTCTCATTTTTTCCCCTTATCCCTGCCAGCCCTTTTAAACCAATGACTCTTAGCTTTTGTGTGGTGAAGACTGTTTCCCTCCCAATCTATTGGAATGAAAGAACAAGTCTTACCATTAATTTGAGATAAAGAATAATAATATTTTACTTAGCTAGGTGTAATGGGGCATGCCTGTGTAATCCTAGCACTTCAGGAGGTTGAGAGAGGAAAATTGCAAGTTTGAGGCCCAAATGAGCAACTTAGTAAGACTTGTCTCAAAAGGGGATTGGGAGTGGGATTAGATAGCTAAGTGCTAGAGTACTTGCTGCCATTTATGAGTCCCTGGGTTTAATCACTAGCACTACCACAAAAAGTCTTCATCTTTTACATTGCTACAGTAGTTTCTAAACACTGCTTCTCTGCTTCTGATCTTGTCTCGAACAGGGTAGTAAGCTTTTGTTAGTTGGCAACCCCTCTGAGAACGACCACACTTTGAGTAGCTGCTTAGGGACCTGTAGATAAGATATTTGAGGAGCAGTATGAGTAAATCCTTCAAGGCGGGGAAGTTGCACAGGGTTTTTACTTCTTCAAATATTTGCTTTGCCTCCTATTTGGGAATCCATAATGAAAGGTAAACTAAGGGTATTCATCCAAAGGCACACAGGGGATGGGGGGAGGTGGTGATATGAAAAACATGGCCTTTGTTTGTACGCAGGTGGCATGTAGCTTAGTTATTAAGTGAACACATGAGTGGGAATAAAGAAGTCTGGTTCTCATCCCTTCTGTGCCCGTGGCAAGCTGAGCAATATAATGCCCACCATTAGCCTGAGCCCCACTTCCCACCATGGTAAAACAAATTTGTGGAGCAAATGCTCTCTTGCATTTCTTTCAACACTATTAAATTCACTATAGAATAAGCATTAATCCCAAAAGGTATCACAGTAAAACTAAACATAAAATGATGGAGATTGGCACACATGCACAGAGAATAGTAAAACAAAACAAAAAAATGACAAAAATCTCCAGTTATTAGAATACAGTAAAAATTTATAGTGCTCTTGGTCATTACAGTAGGATGAGGGTTTATATTGGAGTCTAAGGTACATTTTTTTTATAAAGCATGTTAAAATGGAAAAATGAGGTCTGTGTTTAGAATATATTAAAATTAAAAAGCTTCTAAAGATGAATGCTTTAAATATTACTGTGACAAAATATATATCAATAAAGAAAATAGAATGTGGATGATAACTGTGTTAATGAATATCTACCTAATCAGGATATAGGGACTAAGTAAAAAGTGTCTTTGGATACAAAAGAGTGCCCTACCTCTTATACAAACTAACTTAGAAAGCTTGAGCAAATACTCTTTATCCCTTTAGTTTTTGTTTTATCTATAATATAGAAATAATAACTATCTTGTACTGTTATTGTGTGTAATGAATGAAATATTTATAGAAAGCACTTAGCCAAGTTATTGGCATGTAGAATATGCTCAATAATCAAAGTTCTCAAATGCTCAGGATGATTGCAGTTTATTTAAGTAAGATGCGCCAATTAAAAACCCATGGATAACGCTTGATTTAAATTTAAATTTCTATCGACAATAGAACATATGTCACCAATTGGGAAGTAATCATTGCCAAATGGTGGTTTATAACCATGAGAGAGAACTTGAAAAGGTGACTAACTTTTATTGAGTGTTTATGATATGGCAGCACTATTTTATGTACTTCACAAGAATTAACTCATTTCATCCTTACAAAAAAATCATAGCCCTGTGAAGTAGATCCTATTATGATTTCCACATTAGGAAATTAAGACACAGCTTAATGTTAAGTATTTTCCCGTAATAACTAATCGATTGCAGGACTGAATTAGAATCCAGGCTCCAGACTGATATCTTTAAACACCACATTGTGGGAAGAGATACAAAGAGGCAGCCAGGCTGAATGTTTTAAAAAGGATTTATGTAGGAGATTAGTTTGGGATAGATAGAAAATAGGGGATATTCTCTTCTAAGTAGATGAAATAAGGAAAAAGCAAGTTGAAGTCTTAGCTTTTGAAGGAAAATGTACTCTGTGTGGAAAACAGCCAAGTGCATGTTACTGCAGAAGAGTACTCTGTGATGTTAGAAGAAAACATTCGTCTTACCTCTAAAAGTGTTTCTTACCTATTAAGGAATCTGAGGAGAGTTATGGTGTTTTATTACAGCCCAAGACAGAAAGTGACAAATGATTTAATCAAAGTTCGCCTAATGTTCTTTGACAATACAGAAAAAGAAGAGGAAATATCCAGAAGCAGGAATGGAAAGGTGTTGTATAAAGGATAGCCTTTGAGTAATTTTACAGTGAGGCTAGCTGAGATTTGGAAGGAGGAAGAGAGTAGAGAAGCAAAGTCCTTTCAAGAGGGGGTCGGGGGGACGTCAGAGTAAAGGATCTGTGTGGGGAGTAGTAAATATTAGGAAGCCAGGTAGTTGGAGAAGTCATGAATCCAAGTGTGGTGAAAGCCCGTGCCCTGGGAGCTGTTCATGGACAGGGAATGACAAAGAAGGTGACCTCCCAGCCAGAGGCCTTGGTTTGAGTGCCAGCCTCTCTCTCCTTTATCTTCCCACACTTCCCAGCCGCCTCCTCTGTACCTGCCGCTGTGTGGGGTTTAGAGACATCCTGCTGTGGAGAGGCTGTGCCTCACCAGACTCCCTTTCCTGGGACAACATAAGCATAAGGGGTTCCAATGTGTATGTCAAGGCAACGTTGAACCTGACCTGGGCATTCTCGGGTATAGATGAGAGAGGCCAGTGGTCTGTCTGAAGCTGAGAGAAGCAGGGTTCCATAGCATGACATTTGTGTCGGGGGGACTTGGACCAAGAGAGATGGACAAATGCTTATTTTGCTATTAGACTTTTACTGGGCTAGAAATGCCATTGGCAGGCACCACCCTTAGGAACCTCCCTCTCCTGCAGTTCTATCCTAGGCCCCACCGAAGCCCCATCACCAATGTTTTTTAATTCCTACTGTCTTTAATGCTGGAATTTTACTGAAGCCATGTCTGATTTGCTGGAGGTAATTGTCATCACGTGAAAGACCTGCTAGATCTGCCGGACTGCGAGCCGCTCCAAGGAGTCAGAGGAAACAAAGTGTGTCAATCACTGGGTCAGCAGAGTGGGCTCTGTTGGGGCTGTGTTGCTTTCTGTCCATGCCCTGAAGTTAAGGGTTCATAAATATGTGATCATGTTTTTTTCTTTATACATCTTTTTGTTTATGTTTGAAGAATAGTTATAATCATGGTATACCTAATAGTATTGGGAGAAGTACCAGAAGACTGCCTCACAGATGATAAAACTGCAAGGGAAAAAACAGGTGCCTTCATGAGTCTTCTTCCAAGTGGTGAGATTTAGCATTGCCATCGATGGGATGAAGTAACACATACCAAGTAGTATAATGAAGGAAATACCCAACAACAGTCTTGCTAAGTAAAATTCTTAGCTACATTGAAGCGTTTAGAAAATAAAAGTCCAGCTGATGGAACATTCTTCAAGACAACTGTCCTAAATGCTTCAAAATTGTCCGTATGATAAAAGACTATTCTATATTAAAAGATATTAAAGAAATATCTCTTTTGAATGCAAGGTCTGTGTCCTGACTGGATTCTACATTTTAAAATAGCTATAAAAGATGTGGGGCAAATTTAACTTAATATAAATTATAAATTAAAAAATACATCAGTGTTCATTTCTTGGGTATATTGGTTATATTGTGGTGATGTAGGAAAATATTTTTAGAAGCTCTCTGTTGGAATATGAGATGAAATATGATGTTTGCCATTTATATTGGAAGTGACAGGTAGGTAGGTATGTAGGTAGAGGATGGATGGATGGATGGATGGATAGACAGATTATTAAAAATAGTGATGGAAATAAATGTTCAAACAGAACCACTTCAGTTTAAAATAGCTAGAGATGCTATAACTATATAGCTACAAAGATATCCCTTCTCCCCCAAAATATATTAAAACCTTCCACAAAAAATACCTCAAGACTCCTTCCTTGGGTGGTTAAATTAAAGAAAATAACATTCCTGACTCCTCCTGTGCTGGCTGTCTTAATGACAACAGTGGGTATTCAAAATTCCTCTTTAATGTATATCCG